ACCCATAATTTTTCTACTGTACCCATTCTGTCTATCATCAAGAAAGGTCTTCCCTTTGACAAATGGCTTCCAGGATTAGAATCTCCCTCATTTTTCCCTATGGCATTTGGAAACAGAGCTTAATCATGCAAGCTATGACAGCAGGGAGTCTTTTCTGAAAGGAGGCCTCCTAGCAGGGAAACGGAATAGAAAGAATAGAAAGCGGATGTCAGGGAGACATTTGAGTTTGGTGCTGTGGACCAAACCATCTTTCAAGACTCATCTTAAATCCTCTTTCCTTTGACAAGACTTCCCTGACCAGCCCAGACTCTGCCCACCTCCCTCTGCTCTGCTCTAATTTAGGAGATAGGACTGTGCAATAGACTTAGCAATTGATCATACCTGCCCTTGTGTCACCTACTGTACTGTTGCCTTAAACTGATACTTCACTCTGGCCTTATCATTCATCTTTGTGCATGTACACTTTCCCCCAATGAGATTATAAGCACCTTGAGGGCAGAGATTTTTGTCAAACATATCTTAAATCTGTAATTCCTCCCCAACACCTCATACAATTCTGTCCACATAGTAAAGGCTCAACAAATGTTTCCTAGTTTCATATAAAAGGCCCTGCAAGGATTTCTGAACCAAAAATATGATAGAAATTAAATAAATTAGTTTGAGGAGCAGGTGATTTAGATTTATTTCTCATGGTAGAATGCAAAAATTCCCACAATAATTGAAAGTAATTCTTATTAAGAGGCAGAGTCTATTTCTTCCTTCCTTGAATCTGGGCTGGCCTTGTGATTTGTTTCGACCAGTTGAATGTAATGAGCATAATGTTGTGTGAGGTCTGAGCCCAGGCCTCAAGAACCCAGCAGAAGAACTGCACAGCCGAGACTAGCCCAAATCACAAACCCACAGGACTGTGAGTTAAACAAATGGTTTTTATTATAAATCACTAAGTTTTGGTATGATATGTTAGGCACCAAAAGCTAACTGATGCATGATCTTCTTTAATTATCAGGATAAGCCCATGAGATGCATGTTAGCCTCTTACTTTATGAGCTAGGAAGCAAGCATTCAGGAGCAATATGTTGTGGAATGATCATAATGAGCATCATTTGGAGCTGTTGTTAGTGTCTTTTAGCAAATGTTACCTGGATGGGGAAACATACCAGGAGGCACATGTCTCAGCAGGCGCTGGTCTGTTTGATGGGGAGGGGGACAAAGGAGTGTTTGTTGGCAGGAGTCAAGAAAAGTTCAGATCATGGAGACTTCAACAATGTGTTGAAGGAACAGGCAAGACAGAGCTTGAGGGCTCTTGGGTCCATGAGTTCAGGCTGAAATGATGTAACTTGGGAGTCTATAAAGAGGGAAATGATAATAACAGTGACTAATAAATTCACTGAACATTTTTCATGTGCCAGAAGCTGTGCTATGTCTCTCATCTTCACATATGTCCTAGGTGAGGCTGAGATAAAATAAATAGATCATATAACTTGTAAGTGATTAAATTGCCATCGAAACGTAAATGTGTCTAGCTCCAAAGGGAAATAACTAACAGCTAAAGAAAAAGTGCCCTTTTCATTATATCGTCTGGTCTGTAACATCAATTTCTTCCTAACTTTCAACAAACTGCGTGGGCACCTATATGTCATTTCAGGCAAAACTCTTCAGATGCCTTGGAACAAAGCCATACAGAGCTGAAAACTCATGACTTGTCCCATATTGGGCACTAAAGGTGGTTTCTCCAGCTTGATCAGATCAGGAGGGCCCCTCTGCAACATGCTTTTGGGATAACATGATCTGGTTTAGCAACAGTTCTACAAATAGGGCCCCTTGGAAGGGAACTGTCCCTTCTGCTTTTGAAGTAGGATGACCACAGCCCTCGAGCAGAGAACTTCAGATATCCTCAGGCAGTGGTTTCATCTAGACTAAACTAGTTATAAACCCTTCCATTTATCTAATAGTTTATGCACTGTGTACACATACATCTTGCTGAATTGAGTAGCACAGCTTTGTGGGATTCACTGGGCAGCATATGCGATTCCCGTTTTATAAAGTGAGAAAACTGAGACTCAGAAGTTAACGGACATGCTCAAGGTCATAAAGTTAATTTGTGTTGAGCTAGGACTGGACTTGGTCTGTTTGACTCCTCCTCCTATGTTCCTGACTGAGTCAATACAAAAGCATTCCCTACGTATGAGGCATAGGGAGTACAGAGATGTTTTAGGCTGGGCTCCTATACCTGGTAACAGCAAATCCCTGCTCTAAATGCTTTACTTTGATAAACTAATTTAATTCTTATAACAACCCTATGAGGGAGTACACTTTTTACTCTCGTTTTGTGCATACGAAACACATACAAGTTGTGTTCACATACAAGTTGTCTATGGGGAGGCTTTTGACTTAGCCACAGCGCTACACTGCTCTATGCTCAGGGAGGCTACTGGGGAGAGGAGTGAGATGCTGAATAACAAGGAGGCCTATGACAGCCCCATAACAATAGGTCATCCCTGTTTGGGTTCAAATACTTGGCCCAGTGCTTAAAGCTGTTTGGCCTTGGATAAGTTATTTGTGTGTGTGTGTGTGTGTGTATCAGTTTTTCATCTGTAAAATGAGATTTTGATATTGCTCACTTCATAGAGAGGTATTATGAGACTGTAACAATTATGTATGTATGTATATGTGTGTATGTGCATGCATATGTTCAAGTGTGTCTGTGTGTGTGTGTAGATAAGAATAATCCCTGGTCCTTCAGTTAGTATGATTTGAGTATTTGCCGTCATCATCATTACAAGGCCATGAAGTGGACTAATTTTCAGACACATAGCATAGACAAGAGTTATTGAGAAGAGGGAGAATTTATTATCAGCAGGAATGCTCAGGACAGGCTTCAATGAGGAGGTAAGATGTTAAGTGGATCTCAAAGGATAGAATCACAGACTTGGGAGTTGGAGGGACTTTAACATTCATGCGATCATATGACTTTACTCAAAGAAGAAATCTAGGACCACAAGAGAGAAGTGATTATGCCACGTTTGTTTATCCAGCTAGTTGGGGTCAAGACCTCAACTGGAACCCTGGTCTCCTCCAAACCACGCCTGTCTGAATTTTCCTAGGCTAGATAAATTAGAAACCCTGCATCTCCAGTGTATACTCGTGCTTCCTCTTGCAGTCCTCACTTCAGTCTGAGGGCCCTTTACCACCTTTCCTCTGCCATCCCTTTGGGAGAGATGCAACTGAGCAATGAATTTGACAGGGATAGGAAAGACCTTCTCCAGACTTGATAATCTACAAACAGTTTCTGGGTCAAGACCATGAATGTGTATTGAGCACCTACTATCAGGTGCTTACTGAATTTTCTCAATCTCCACAGTATTTCATTCTTTGAATAAATAAAAAACCAAAAGTCTTAATTTTGTAGTATCTTAGTTTTGGTAATTTTCCCAAGGTCTCACAAAAATAAAATGTTTGAGCCGGGATCTGAAAAATGGTCTTTAAGATTCTTCCACCCACCCACCCATCCATCTAACCACCCATCCATGCGCACACCTATCCATCCACCCACCCATGCATGCACACACCCATCCATCCACCCATCATCCATCTATCTGTTCATTCATCTTTCCATCCAGGAATCCGTTATTGAGAGTGTGTTCCACGTAAGGCAGTGTGCTAGGTGGTATGGAGCTAAGGAGACACATAAGCCCCCTTTCCTCATAGAGCTGAGTGGGGGCCTCCTCAGGGGATGCTGTTGGGCTAGTGTTAGAGAGGAGAGTGATGAGGAAATGGTTTATTTGGAGACTTGGCACTTGGGAAGACCATGACTAGAGGATCAGCGGGTTGCTCCCCTACTCCTGCTTCTGAGGTTGCAGATGAGTGCCCAGCTGGCCAGCTAGCCACTGGCATCATCTGCCTCTTTGTGTAAAAACTAGTGGAATCACATATGTGCTGCTCCCAGATGCAGCCTCGGCACCAGCACCTTCCAAGCAGGAGGTTCTGTCATGGTACTGCTTGCCAAGCCTTGTCCAGAGGACTGAGGCCACTTGGCCAGTTGCACTGGGCTCTGTGCCTGTGCAGGGACTGCCTCACCACAGTGGCTGGGGCGGCAGAGAAGGGCAAGAGCTGTGTGTGTGTGTGTGTGTGTGTGTGTGTGTGTGTGTGTGTTTAAGCTGGAACGAAGCCCTTTTTACTGTGCTCTGTACTTGAGATATTTGACTGGGTGGGAGACAAAGAGGCTTTGTGTGCGCTTCAAAGTGCTCTCTGCTGACTGTGATACACATCCAGGAAAAACCCAGACCAAAGCCATGAAGTCACCCCAAGTTCAAACCCAAAATGCAGTTTGCAGGGGTTAGAAATGACAAAAGGATGGGCAGTAGGATCCAGAGTAAAAAACCCAGTGAAACCCAATGGACCTTAAATAGAGCTGAGGGCACTGATTTTCTTATTTTGGGTGAAATCTTTAAGAAAATCTTGTCAGATTCTTCACAGAAAAATTGTCAGAGCCTATATTCCATCGCCTGCCTGGCAAAGGTAAGGCCCACTTTAATTTTCTTTGAAGGTAATTGTTGTTTTTATTCTTGGGGTCTCTGTTAGGGAGAGGAGCAGGGAGGTGGTCTGTCAGATGGTGTTCTTTCCTTGTTAAGCTTCACCTGTTCTTAAGAGCAACTTGCACTTTGTCAGCCACAGAACAGTGCCTGCCGTTCAGGCTAGTGTTTTAGCTATAATTGAATTGCTGGGACACGTTAAACATCACAGGGTTTTTAGCGGAGAAATAATTTAATGATGTGGCCTTTAGGATTGTTAATTAGCACTGTCTGTATGAACATGTAACAATAACACCACCTACCGTAAAAGCGAATGTTCTACACTTCAGAACACTCATTTCTTTAGGGCTTCCCGCAGAGAAGCAGTCATTAACTCTTTTTTTGACAAATGCTTTTAGACATGCTCTGTAGGGCCGTGAATTTACCATTCCCTCCAATCCTGAATCCTTCTCTGCATTTATCCACTAGGCAAGCTGGCAAACAGGGAAACAAGAACTGTGTGCTCAGCCCTCCAGAGTGGAATGGATTATGAGGAGGTGATGGTCCTTCCCTGCCAAGCTCCTGAGACACTGTCACTCCGGAATCCAAAAAGAGATTCAGGCAAGGATGTGGGAAAATTGGAACCCTGCACGCTGTTGGTGGGAATGCCAAATGGTGCAGCTGCTATGGAAAACAGTATGGAGGTTCCTCAAAAAATTAAAAATAGAATTACATATGATCCAGCGATCCCACAGGGTATTTATCCAAAATAACTGAAATGAGGATCTTGAAGAGATATTAGCACGCCCCCGTTCACTGCAGCACTATTCACAATAGCTGAGATGTAGAAACAAATGAAATCTCCAACAACAGATGAATGGATAAAGAAAATGTGGTGAACACACATGCACACACACACGCACACATACACACACGCATGCACACCACCCCCCCCAGATTATTACTTAGCCTTAAAAAAGAAACTCTAAAATATGTGGCAACATGGATGAATCTTGAGGACGTTATACTAAATGAAATAAACCAGTCGGAGAAAGACAAAACTGCATGATTCCACTTATGTGAGGTATCTACAATTACCGAATTCATAGCATCAAAGAGTGGAACGGTGGTTGCCAGGAGCTAGGTGAAGTGGGAAATGAGCAGTTGTGAATCAATGGGCATGCGGCTTTAGTTAAGCAAGATTAATGAGTTGTAGAGATCTGCTGTACAACACTTTACCTATGGTCAATCATCCTGTATTGTGCACTTAAAATTTTGCTAAGAAGGTGGCCCTCATGTTAAGTGTTCTTACAAAGCTGGAAAAGAAAGAAGTAACGGGATTGGCTCACTGGAGGTAGGGCTGTTGGCTTGTATTCTGCCTGCCCCGCTGAAGGGGCTGGTTTCTCTGCCGGAATTCAGGTGGGTCTGTCTGAGCCATGGGGCTGGAGGAGGCCTGCATAGGCAGCATGCCACAGGTTTCTCTGGCTTCTTGAGAACAGAGCCTGATGATGGTGGAGAAATGAGAGCTTCCCATTTCTTCTTCTGTTTACATTAGAACAGCCAAGTGCTTCTTCAACCATCCACCATTCCCTTATGTCATATGTTTTCTGAAGACATTTTACTGCTTCAGTGAGACAAGAGCAGCAGCATGAAGGCATTTGAACACTAGATTGTGCATTGTTCTTCAGCCACGTTCTAGGCCTTGATGTCTCCAGTGAAAATCCAGCTGTGGAAACCGCACCTTCCAACACCTCACTCTCTGGCCACAGCTGCCTGTCCTACCTCTCTTACTCCTCTCCTCTCACAGCTTCATCTGGTCTCTGGTCCAGAGACGGCAAATACCTGGTGTGATTACTGCCACTCTTCCCAGCTCATGAGAACCTCACAGACTGATCACGCCATGCTCTTCTATTAAGCCCAGAGGTTGCTTTGGAATCCTTCTCAGCACACGTGCCATCAACTGGAGCTGACATGTGCGATGAAAACTATCTGCCATTCCAGCTCCAATTCCTTGACTCACTTTCTCTTAGCCCATCAGGCAGGGCAGACCCCACATACTCGCACGTGAACTCTTTATGGCACCCTCCCCTTCCCTTGAATACGCACGTGCCGTGTCTGTCCAATGATGTGTTCTCTCCACTCTCATGCCCAGACCACTAAGGATTGTTGAAGAATTTTACCTTATGATGTGTATTTACTTTTAATGCCACAAAAAATCTACTTTGGTTTCTACTTTGGAAACGTCTTTTACTTGTTCTTTATTAGTATCTTCTTGCATTTCCCAGAGAAGCCTTCCAGAGCCTATCCTGCCTTTCAGTCCCCCAAACCTTCCCTCCTTGTCTGTCAACCTCACCTCTTATTTCCCTGAGAAGACTGGCAGAGGCTCCCTGTGCCTCTGCCCCTGCCTCATCCCCCACCCTCTGCCCACATGCACCCTGTCTCTCCCTTTCAGAATCTTTGTAATCATTCTGCTTAGAGTGCTGTGGCCTCCATCTGCTCCCGAGATGTTCCCTTTTCTTCCACACTCAGCAAAGTGTCATTTCCTTGACAAAACCTTCCTTTGCTAACTGACTCTCAACCCAGGCAGTCTGGGTAGTTCCCTCCTCTCTTCCCTCTGTATCTCATACATACCTATATTAATGTATTAATTCCGGGGAATTGTCATCTATCTCTTTTCTAGTCTACTTTCCATCCCTGACTCTAACAGTATCTGGACTAGGGCAATGATTCAAGTTGTATTTATTGAGTGACTGAATGAATGCATTGAGAAATTGAGGCAGAGAATAGATTTGGCCCATCTCCTGGAATTGGTCATCCTCACATCCTTCCTGTTAAATTTTACTACCTGCACTTCTCTTTTTAAAAAAGGATCTAGAAATAGAAATTCCATTTGACCCAGCAATTCCATTACTGGGTATATACCCAAAGGACTGTAAATCATTCTATTATTAAGACACATGCACATGCATGTTCATCGCACTGTTTACAATAGCAAAGACCTGGAACCAACCCAAATGCCCATCAATGATAGACTGGACAGGGAAAATGTGGCACATATACACCATGGAATACTATGCAGTCATAAAAAATGATAAGTTTGTGTCCTTTGTAGAGACATGGATGAACCTGGAAACCATCATTCTCAGCAAACTGACATAAGAACAGAAAATCAAACACCACGTGTTCTTACTCACAGGTAGTAATTGAACAATGAGAACACTTGGACACAAATAGGGGAGCATCACACACTGGGGTCCATTGAAGGGAGCTATGGGGGGTTAGTGGGAGGGAGGGTGAGGGAGGGATAACATTGGGAGAAATGTCAGGTATAGGTGATGGGGGTATGGTGTCAACAAACCACCTTGCTATGAATGTACCTATGCAACAATCTTGCATGATCTGCACATGTACCCCAGAATCTAAAGTACAAAAAATAAATTAAAAATAAAAATGAAAAAATGGTATTTATCATTTTCTATTATTCATATTGCTTGTCTATATGCACATTTTATCATTCCTACCACACTGCAGCTTCCTTGAGAGCATTATTTAGATCAAAATCAACTATGTTTGTCTCAAACATAGTCACACATATTCTTTTATTAATATAAGTTGGTGAATGATTCTTAAGTTGTCCTTTTATTACTTAGAATAAGGGCCCAATGCAGGCTTGCTGAATTAAATGGAATTTAATCCCTTGTCACAGATATGCTGATGTGGTTTGTGTGTCCCTACCCAGATCTCATCTTGAATTGTAGTTCCCATAATACCCACATGGAGGTTGTGGGAGGGACCCATTGAGATGTGATTGAATCTTGGGGCTGATTAGTCACATGCTGCTGTTCTCGTGATAGTGAGTGAGTTCTCATGAGATCTAGTGGTTTTATAAGGGGCTTTTCCCCATTTTGCTCTACACTTCCCCTTCCTGCCATCATGTGAAGAAGATGCGTTTGCTTCTTCTTCCACCATGACTGTAAGTTTCTTGAGGCCTGCCTGGCCATGCAGAACTGTGAGTCAATTAAACCTCTTTCATTTATAAATTACCCAGTCTCAGGTTGCCCTTTATAGCAGCCTGAGAATGGACTAATACAGTATATTGATACTGTGTATGGGGTGTTGCTGTAAAGATACTTGAAAATGTGGAGGTAACTTTCAAACTGGGTTAACAGCAGATGGTGGAACCATCTGGAGGACTCAGAAGAGGACAGGAAGATGTGGGAAAGTTTAGAACTTCCTAAAGACTGTTGAATGACTTTGACCAAAATGCTGATAGTGATATGGACAATGAAGTCCAGGTTGAGGTGGTCTCAGATGGAGATGAGGAACTTATTGGGAACTTGAACAAAAGTGATTCTTACTATCCTATAGAAAAGAGACTGGTGGCACTTTGCCTCTGCCCTAGAGAGTTGTAAAACATTCAATCTGAGAGAGACAATTTAAGGTATCTGGCAAAAGAGCCCTAACCCCTAAGCAAGGTGTTCAAGAGGTGATTTGGGGCTGGAGATGGTGGCTCATGCCTGTAATCCCAGTACTTTGGAGGGGTCAAGGCAGGCAGATTACTTGAGGTCAGGAGTTCTGAGACCAGCCTGGCCAACATAGTGAAACCCTGTCTCTACTAAAAATATAAAAATTATCTGGGTGTGGTGGTGCATGTCTGTAATCCCAGCTACTCAGGAGGCTGAGGCAGGAGAATGGCTTGAAACTGGGAGGGAGAGGCTGCAGTGAGCTGAGATCATCCCACTGTACTCCAGCCTAGGTGACAGAGTAAGACTCAAAAAAATAAAATAAATCAATAAATAAACGGTGTGACATGGGTGCTGTTAAAAGCATTCAATTTTATGTATTCACAAATATATTGTTTGGAAATTGAACTTATATTTGAAAGGGAAGCAGAGCATAAAAGTTTGGAAAATTTGCAGGCTGACAATGTGATAGAAAAGATTTTCTGAGGAGAAATTAAAGCCAGCTGCAAAAATTTGCATAGGTTAAGGAGCCAAATGTTAATTGCCAAGACAATGGGGAAAAATGTCCCTAGGACATGTCAGAGACCTTCAAAGCAGTCCCTCCCATCACAGACCAGGAGGCCTAGGAGAAAAATATGGTTTTGTGGGCCAAGCCCAGGGACTTGCTGCTTTGTGTGGTCTTGGGACTTGATGCTATGCATCCCAGCCATGGCTAAAAGGGGTCAAGGTACATCTGGGACTGCGACTTCAGAGGGTGCAAGCTTCTAACCTCAGCAGTTTCTATATGGTGTTTAGCCTGTGGGTGCACAGAAGTCAAGAATTGAGGTTTGGGAACTACTCCCTAGAATTCAGAGGATGTATGGAAATGCCTGTTGTTCAGGCAGAAGTTTGCCGTAGGGATGGAGCCCTCATGGAGAACCTCTGCTAGCACAGTATGGAAGGGAAATGTGGGGTTGGAGCCTCCACACAGAGTCCCTACTGGGGCACTTCCTAGTGGAGCTGTGAGAAGAGGCCACTGTCCTACAGACCCCAGAATGGTAGATCCACCAACAGCTTGAACCACGCACCTGGAAAAGCTTAAGACATTCACTGCCAGCCCATGAAGGAAGCTTGGAGGGGGGGCTGAACCCTGAAAAGCCGCAAGGGCAGAGTTGCCCAAGAGCATGCGAGCCCACCTCTTGCATCAGTGTGACCTCGATGTGAGACATAGAGTCAAAGGAGACCATTTTGCAGCTTTAAGATTTGATGGTCCTGCTGGATTTTGGACTTGCATGGGGCCTGTTTCCCTTCATTTTGGCCAATTTCTCCCATTTGGAACAGGCATATTTACCCAGTGCCTGTACCCCATTGTATGTAGGAAGTAATTAACTTGCTTTCAATTTTACAGGTTCATAGGTGGAAGGATTTGCCTTGTCTCAGATGAGACTTTGGACTTCAACTTTTGGGTTAATGCTGGAATGAGTTAAGACTCTGAGGGACTGTTGGGAAGGCATGATTATGTTTTGAAATGATGTGAGGACATAATATTTGGGAGGGGCTGGAAAGAAATAATATGGTGTGGCTGTGTCCCCACTCAAATCTCACCTTGAGTTGTAGTTCTCATAATCCCCATGTGTCATGGGAGGGACCCAGTAGGAGGTAATTGAATTATGGGGGTGGTTACCACCATGCCACTGTTCTTGTGATTGTGAGTGGGTCTGCATGAGTTCTGACAGTTTTGTAAAGGACCTTCCCCCTTTTGTATGGCACTTCTCCTTCCTGCCATCATGTGAAGAAGGATATGTTTTCTTCCCCTTCTGCCATGATTGTAAGTTTCCTGGGGCCTTACCAGCCATGTGGAACTGTGAGTCATTTAAACCTTTTTCTTTGTAAATTACCCAATCTTGGGCAGTCCTTTATAGCAGTGTGAGAAAAGACTAACACATATGCCTAAATATCTAAAAAGGCCTGAAAGCTGACTGAATTGTTAAGTTCATGAGGGCAGGGATGGTGTGCCTATCTTGTTTAATATTGTTCCTAGCAGAATGACAAATACTAAATAACTATTAGTTGATGAAACAATGGACATCTTTTACCCTACCCTTTGGAAGTAGCAAACTCAAGTAGCTGAGAATAATTTTAGAACCACTTTTTATGAAGTTCTCCAGAGTGGACAGCATTTTTTCCCTGAGTACATCTAACAAACCAAATGTCAGGAGGGGAGGTTGTCATAAGCCATCACTCCTTTCTTTTGTTCATTTGCTGAATAAAATTCCCTTTTATTTAGGATAGACATAGTTTTGTTTTTAATCCTGAGACTCTGACATGGTGTTTGAGTCCCCAGAATCACTAGCTCAGACTGACAGACATGTTATCTTTCCTGCTTAAACACATTCCTTAATAGATGGCATCTGGTGCCCTTAAATGCAAGTGCATTCCCACACGGGAGAGTGGCTGTATTTCAGCTGTAATGATGGGGTGGGCAGTGCTCTGTCAGATCAATTATGTACAAGGCTCATCTTCTCTAAGGTTCTCTCAATTTTTTTTTCTCCTGACAGTTCACCTTGTTCCCAACCTTCTGTCTCCCCGAGTCAGACCTGCAGACAATTGCATGCCACCGGCTGTCTTCCCTCCTGAGAACATGACACAAAGGAACGCTTCCCTGTCAAATTCTTCATTATTCATCTGATGAATTTCCCCTGATTTAAACAAGTTGGTGATAGCCAGATCTTTCTCACATTTTCACAGACATGCCAGGAAGAAACCCAGTGTTTCTCAGTTGCCTTTAAATACAAGAGGTGGTATCTCATTGTGACCTCAGTTTTCTTCTAGTTCACCTCATTTTCTATTTCTTCTGAAGTAGAAATGCCACTTTGACCACAGTGAACAGGGCAAACCACCCCTGGGGTTGTTTATAAGAGCAGGGAGCTCTCTGCCAGTGGCTTCTCTCTTCTGTCTGGGTCATCCAGGGCAGTGGTCAGGGGAGATGTCAGCCTTCCTAGCAGGCATTGTTGTTTGTGAAACTTTATAAAACCCTCTCCTGGTGTGCACAGAGGAGATGATGGCATTGCATTCTGTTATTTCAGTCAAGTTTTTGTAGTCTGACTTGGCAGAAGCTGGTCAAGACATAATGAAAGCAGCTGGCAGGGGGCACCATGTGGGGGTATCAGAATGGCAGCATCTCCTGTCCACTTCCAAGAGTGCAAAATGGCAAGTGAGGGCAGTAATTTCCCCAATTATAGTCAGGATGTGGCCACTTCTTCATATTGCTCACTTATACATGATCTGAGCCAACATTATTGCTCCATCTGATGTCCTGCAGTGGCCTCCCCTCTTGTCTCCCTGCATCCTCTTGTCCCCTCCAAACAGCAGTCAAAATTATGTTTTTAAAATGCAAATCATCAAAAACACTTAAAATGCTTCCATGGCTTCCTCTCCTAATTGGAATGAAACCCAATTTCATGTGATGGCCTGCCAGGCCCCCGGGGCCTTGCTACCCCTCCTTTCAGATCTCCTCTTCCACCATTCCCTCATTCATCACTGCAACCTCCCCCTCTTCTGTGGAGGTATTAAGTCCATCCCTGCCTTACAACCCTGGCACTTGCTGTTTTTCCTGCTTAAAAGGTGTTTCAGCCAAATCTTTGCAAGGTTAGAACCTTCTTGTCCTTGAAGCCTCTGCTTACAGGCAACTTTCCTGGGGGAAACCTACCTGACCACGCAACATAAAGCAGACTCACCCATTTTGCCCTGGTTTATTTTCTTCATTGTACTTATCTCTTGCAGGACTCTTCTTATTTTTATGTTCCTCATTTATTATCTGC